TCGTTTTATGCAGTTTTTTAGGGGTTTGTGCACCTTTATGTTAAAGAATTACTTTTTTTTGTCTGTGTTTCAGATATATTGCTTGTAGTGTCGTTTTCTGTGATTTATGAATTTTTACCTTCTGCTTTTGTCGATTGTCTCCATCCCTTTCTCTATTCCCTTTCTTTATGTCTTTATCTTCTTATTTTGATTATTTGTTTTATGTTTGTCTACTTGCTAGGGTTTCGTATTATTTATTACTATTTATTGACATCTTCTAAAGTCAGGTAGGTCCATAAGAACTAGACAAGTATACAATTGATAGTTGATATTATTTACATTCTGCATAGTTAGGTAGGACCACTCGTTTCATCTTAATTTACCTAGCATATTTGTTAATTAGTATTATGTAATTAGTTCAAATACTTAACACACCTAAATCTTCCTTGTTTGACTTACGTTATTTCACTATCACTTTTTTTTCTCATTTATTCCTAATGTGAGTACTAACTAATGTACTGTGACTTATGCTTACTAATGTGAATATTTACTAACTTAACTAATAAAATGTGGACTTACTGACTAACTAAACAACATTATGCTTTATGACTTAAATAATTCACTTGGCCTATCGGTTAAATGCTTTATTTGATAAGTCACTTTTCAGTTTTGCAAGTTTTTCCTAATTTACTAACTATGTAATGTCACTTGAACATACTTAAATTTACCTTGTTTGTTTGACTGTTACTTTTTATTTTTTCTTCTATATTCCTAATGTGACTAATAACTAATTTAGTGTGACTTAAGCTTACTAATGTGAGTACTTACTAACTTAACTAATGTAATGTGGACTTACAAACTTACTAATATGAGTACTTACTAACTAACTAAACAACCTTATGCTTTGAGACTTTAATAATTAACTTGGCATATCTATTAAATGCTTTCTTTGACATGTCACTTTTCATTTTTTCTTCTTTTTCCAAACTCACTAACTATGTAATGTGACTTGGGCAGACTTAAATTTACCTTGTTTGTTTGACTGTCAGTTTTTATTGTTTTCTCCTTTATTCCTAATGTGACTACTAACCAATCTAATGTGACTTTTTAAATTCTTTAAGACTTAATTAAGCTTAATAGTGTGACTGACTGAGTTACTTTTGCTTGCTAATATGAGTACTTACAAATTAACTAACTAATCTTATGCTTTAAGACTTAAATAATTCACTTAGCCTTTATGTCAAATGATTCATGTGACTGTCAGTTTTCATATTTTATTCTTGTTTCTTAATATGAGTTCTTTGAGACTAAAATAATTAACTTAGCTTACTAATGTGACGTACTGTGTTACTTACTAGCTAGCTGACTTATGAGACTTAATAACTAACTAACTTACTTACTTATTTCCTAATGTAACGTACTTATGTGACTTACTAATGTGACAGACTTATGTTACTTTGGAGCTAATTGGACTGACATATGTTACTTACTAGCTAACTGCTTATCTCACTTAATAAAATAACTTACTTATTTCCTAATGTAACTTACTTATGTGAATTACTAATCTGGCTGACTTATGTTACTAGCTAACTGGATTGACTTATGTTACTTACTAGCTAGCCGACTTATGTGACTTAATAACTAACTAACTAACTTACTTATTTCATAATGTAACTTACTTGTGTATCTTAATTGTCACGATCCAGACCGCTCTGATTGGCACCCACACCAACCCTCCGTTGGGAGAACCACTACTACAACCCAACATAGCAATTTTTAAGAAAACTAAAACATTTAAAGATACGGAAGAAGGTTTAATTGACGAACTAAAAATGGAGTTCCCATAAACTCCGAAGGTTTAAACAAAACAACTAACAAGTCATCGCCGAAATTCAACCCCTAGAACTGAAAGTCATCGTACCAAAACTCTATTAATCAACAAGTCTAAGAAAATGGGGTGCAACCACAAAACAACATAATAAAGGTCTAAAACACCTAGTTTGAGTTCGAAGAGAAAGGAATAAACAAAAGAAGTATCTATGGCAGCCTGAAAGAACTAGCTCACCCTCGAATCCGGTCGCGGTTTATAATCTCCTAAGTGAGTCTGTAAGTAGCCGCCTGAAGATGCATTGTACTCAACAAAGAAAGAGCAAGTGCAATATCAGTACATGAAACCACAAGGTACTACTAGGATGACGCGGCTACTCCCATAAGCACAATATACGCAAGAAATTACAACCAGTAAGCACATATATATATAGAATACGTAGTTCAATTATAATTTTAGGAGCAACATCCAATTTCCCAACATTACTGACAGCTAAACATGAACGTAATAATCACAAGTGGTCTGCTCATCGAACCCACGCCCAAACTATTAGTGTCTTGGAGCGTGACACCTGATCCAACATACATGTGTGGGAACGTGAAACCTAGTCCAATATATGTGTCTGAACGTGACACCTGATCCAGCATATGTGTCAGAACGTGACACTTGATCCAATCAGTAAAACCACAGTCACAATCACACCCATAATGAATAGTACTTATAGTCATACAGTCAAGTAACATGTTCATGGCATGTATTGTTCAAACATAATCATTCCATTAAATTTGTTTCATGTTTGCCTATTCACATACATGCATGCATACAATGAAGCAATTAACCGACACATATCACACTACAGGAAATCAAACCATCACATACCTTGAAACCAAGCCTGAATACTCCTAAGACACTTGAGCCTTCCCTTTCCCAAGTCTTTCAGCTTGTTCTTGGTCTATAAACAAGTAATTAACGCAAGCATAAATAAACAAGGTATACTTTACGGGATTATAACAAACTTAATAACCCAAGAACAAACCCACGATTCTAATGTTCAACTAGGGCTTCTCCTACCATTAACTTTGTGCCAAAACCCTCCACCAATGATAATTACCCAATATTCTATGTTCTAGGAATCGAAATACGGATTAGGGGAGTAATTTCCATACCTTTAGCACTAGAAGTCATGGAAATCTGTCAAGAAATCGCCCTGGGTCATCCATTATCTATTAAGAACGAGGTTTTGCAGAAAATAATGAAAATGGGGTTTTTCCCCGACTTAACTCTCAACTGGCCCGCCACGACAGACTACATCCCACCACAGCGGCACCGCCCTGAACGGATTAATCCCTCTCCGACGGCTTCATGGAGACAGAAGCTCGAAATTGGAGTTCCAAGTTCCCATTTCACAACACACCTTCAAACCTGGACGTTCTAAAACTACCCTTTCACGCCAAGATCAGTTTAGGGAGTTTTACTCTCCTGAATTCAATTCCGTAAATTCATGCATGATCCTTAACGTCTTGGCTATCCACTTATGTGCTCAAATTGATAATTAGATCCCCCATTCATTACCTGATTTCTCTAGACCTCACCTGACTCATATTTAACCCAAGTCTGGCCTAGGCTAAAAATTTCCAAGTCACTACTTCGAAGTTTTATGACCCAATTTTTTTCCCTTTGGCTTTTTCATAAAGATAGAAACAGGTTGTTACCACAGATACCAATTTACCCATCACTCGTCCCAGAGTGAAAAACTACGAGAAATGGGCTAAGGCAAGAGTAGAGGACTACATGAATCATCGAATAACTGGGGTTACTTGTCTCGCATGTCCTTCTCGGTTTCCCAAGTAGGTTCCTCGACTGGATGTTTCTTCCATTGAAATTTCACAGACTTTATCTCCTTGGTCCTCAGCTTCTAAACATCGCGATCAAGAATTGCAATCGGTTCCTCCTCATACTGAAGGTCTTTGTCTAAAAAAACTGATTCCCACTTTATGATGTAATCACCGTCCCCATGATATTTCTTCAACATGGACACATAGAACACTAGATAAACTCCAGATAGGCTAGGCGGTAAAGCCAACCTATAAGCCACTAGCGCTACACAGTCAAGAATCTCAAATGGTGCGATGTACCGAGGACTAAGCTTGAACTTCTTGACGAATATCATCATTGGCTTATGGGTGAAACTTTAAGAAGAACATGCTCACCAGCCTGAAATGTCATGTATTTTTCCTTATGGTTTGAATACTTTTTTTGTCGACTGTAGGCTACTAGAAGCTTTGCTTGGATGCTTCTCACCTTATCCTAAGCATCTTTCACCAAATCAATCCCCAAAGGTTTCACATCTCCAGCCTCAAACAACCCTATGGGTGATCTATATCCCCTACCATAAAGTGCCTCGAACGGTGCCATGTCTGTGCAGGACTCTTATGAAAGTTGTACCAAAAGCTATTTGAGTGGCCAACTCCTATGAAATTTTCCCCAAAACATGGATGTGAGTTGCGTACCACGTTCCGAGATGATAGAAAGGGGCACCCCATGCAGCCTCACTATCTCTTTCACATAAACCTTAGACAAATGATGAGCATTATAGTCTATTTTGAATGGAATAACGTGGGATGACTTCGTCAGTCTGTTAACCACCACCCAAATGGAGTCAAACTTTCCCAAGGTCCTACGAAGACCAACCATGAAATCCATAACTATCTTTTCATGGAGTCAAACTTTCCCAATGTATTGGGAAGACCAACAACAAAATTGATAGCTATCGTTTCCAACTTCCATTCTGAATTTAGCATTCGCTGAAATAAACCTATAGGCCTTTGGAGCTCATACTTTACTTGATGACAGTTTTGGCACTTAGTGAAAAACTCAACTATATCTTTCTTCAGGCCAGACAACCAATAAAGGCGTTTCAAATCTCGATACATCTTTGTCACACCCAGATGAATGGAACACCGCTAACCATAGGATTTTGTCAACATCTTCTGAATCAAGTGATCCACTTTGCATGTGCGAGAGGTCCACTTTGCGTACTTTTGTCGAGTAAAATAGTTGATGGAGGATCCACTTGTAGTCATGTAGAACTTGAGCCAAATAGTGAGTAAGAGCATGAAAAATATCAATAACTTATGTACCGTAAATTTCAATTATTAGTGGATGTAAGCTGTATAGTAACGAAAGTTTAAGTTCATAAAAGAGGACGAGTAACTCGAACACTAAGCTGTTACCAACAAAAATTGACAAACATTTCATTTTTAGGCTCTGAACATAAGTTTACAACTCTTGCAGGACAAGAGGAAAAGAAAATGGAAAAAAATTATAGCCTCTAATATGAACTGTTAGTTCCTCGTCTTTACGAAATTTAGTAACAGTTCATTGTTTATATCCCTGCTCCACTATTTTGTGTCTCTGCTTAGAAATGATAATTGTACTAACACTGATCAATTGATTTTTAGGATTCCCTAAGACATTCACATCACTTTTGTTAGATGTTTTACTAGTATTATTAGCTATTGCATAATGTGTACACCGTCTGTTTCTTTGTGTCTGAGCTGATGGACTATTGAAACTTGTATTATTGTCATAACTTGATATCTTCTGTTAGTGCCTACAAACTGCTATGCGTTTTTAAAAAATTTAAGTATACAACATGTTGTTGGCCTGCTTTAGCATATATAAAAAAGTGTTGTTGCACCTAGAGTGTTGCCGACTTAGTTGTTGCTAGCAGCTGTTGTTAGATGTTTAGCTGCTGCTTTACCTGCTAACCTACTACTTTAGCTACTGCTAATAGATGATGAAGTATTGTCAAGGGTCCTTAGGTGTTTACCTGCGACTGTACAATAATAATATGATATTTACATAATCATCTTTTGTTAATTATTATATATTTAATAGGAAAATTCATAAAAGTTGAGAATTTATTCAATAGTGACACGTGTTAAAAGAAGAAATATAGCCTTTCGTCATTACTGCTCAACACTAGTGTTCTTTTTTGTTTGACCCAAATATATGTCGGGTCAACGAATGAGGATGAAACGACTACTTGTAAGCGTGATCCTCTATCCTCTCGCAATTCACCTATCACTTGATACAAAATAAATCAAGAAGTAACAGCAACAACAACAACAACATGCCCAGTGAAATCCCACTAGGTGGGGTCTGGGGAGGGTAAAGTGTACGCAGACCTTGCCACTACCTCGTGGAGGTAGAGAGGCTGTTTCCGGGAGACCCTCAGCTCAAGAACAACAAATCTTAGTGATAGGAGAGATATATATAAAACATAACAGCCAATACAAAAGATAGCGTATAATCAACAAATGAGACAATAACAGCACGAAAGTAATGCGATGCGTGAAACGCAGTAAACAGCATAAGGCTAGGTCTACTCCAAACGCTAACAACCCATACCCTTGCAAGGGAAGACAACACGCTAACCCTACTAACCTTCAACCTTAATACGTGACCTCCACTCCTTCCTATCTAGAGTCATGTCCTCGATAATGTGAAGCATAGCCAAGTCTTGTCTAATCACCTCCTCCCAATACTTCTTGGGCCTACCTCTACCCCTCCGCGTACCCTCTACCACCATTACCTCGCACCTCCCCACTAGGGCGTCTGCACTTCGTCTCTTCACATGTCCAAACCATCTCAGTCTCGCTTCCCTCAACTTGTCCACCACAGAGGCCACTCCCACCTTCTCCCGGATAACCTCATTCCTAATCTTGTCGCTCCTAGTGTGCCCACACATCCATCTCAACATCCTCATCTCCGCAACATGCATTTTATGAACGTGTGCGTTCTTGACTGGCCAACACTCCGCTCCATACAACAAGGCCGGTCTAACTACCACTCTGTAAAACTTACCTTTAAGTTTCGGTGGAATTTTCTTATCACACAATACTCCAGAGTCAAGCCTCCATTTCATCCAAGCAGCCCCAATGCGATGTGTGACATCATCGTCGATGTCACCACTCCCTTGGATTACAGCCCCAAGATACTTAAAACTTTCCTTCTTAGGAATGATTTGTGTGGCAAGTCTCACTTCCACATTTGTCTCATCCACCACATCACTGAATTTGCACCCCAAATATTCTATTTTGGTCCTACTCAACCTGAACCCTTTGGACTCCAGCGTTTGTCTCCACACCTCCAACCGCGCATTAACTCTGTCCCGCGTCTCATCAATCAGTACTATGTCATCCGCAAATAACATACACCATGGGACCTTCTCCTGAATAGACCGCGTCAACTCGTCCATCACCAAAGCAAATAGGAAAGGGCTTAGGATTGATCCCTGATGCAGCCCCATCTCAACTGGGAAATGTTCTGAGTCTCCTCCAACTGTTCTAACCCGAGTCTTGGCTCCACCGTACATGTCCTTTATCGCCCTAATATAAATCATCGGGACTCCTTTAGACTCCAAGCACCTCCAGAGGACATTCCTCGGTACTTTGTCATAGGCCCTTTCAAGGTCAATGAACACCATATGTAGGTCTCTCTTCCTTTCTCTATATTTTTCTACCAGTCTACGCATAAGATGAATGGCTTCGGTAGTCGAACATCCTGGTATGAATCCAAACTGATTCTCAGAGATGGACACCCCTCTTCTCACCCTCATCTCCACCACTCTCTCCCAAATCTTCATAGTATGGCTCAACAATTTGATACCCCTGTAGTTGTTACAGTTTTGGATATCACCCTTGTTTTTATACAACGGAACCATTGTACTCCACCTCCATTCTTCAGGCATTTTTGCTGTCTTAAAGATAACATTAAACAGCCTAGTTAACCACTCTATGCCCGCCTTGTCCATGCTCTTCCAAAATTCTACAGGAATCTCATCGGGTCTGGTCGCTCTTCCCCTACTCATCCTACTAATAGCCCGTATAACCTCCTCGGACCTAACGCACCTACAGTATCCAAAATCCCGAAGTCTTTCAGAGTGTGCCAAATCACCTAACACAATGTCTGCTTCCCCTTTTTCATTAAAAAGTTTGTGAAAGTAGCTTCGCCATCTTTGCTTGATGGAGGTCTCTTCCACCAGTATTTTGCCTTCCTCATCTTTGATACACTTCACTTGGTCCAAGTCGCGCGCCTTCCTCTCTCTTGCTTTTGCGAGCCTATACAACTTCTTATCCCTACCTTTGTCCCCCAGCTCGACATACAAGCGTTCGAAAGCTGCCGTCTTCGCCTTCGTAACAGCTAACTTAGCTTTTGTCTTTGTCGTCTTATAGACTTTCTTAAGCGTCCGCTTCTCTTCCTCGTCTACGCACTCCGCCAATTTTATGTATGCAGCCTTCTTCGCTTCCACTTTACCTTGGACTTCCCCATTCCACCACCAATCTCCTTTATGGCCTCCAAATTTACCCCTTGACACCCCTAACACCTTAGAAGCAACTTCCCTAATGCATCTAGCTGCTTTATTCCACATGCTGTCCGCATCCCCGCTACCACTCCAAGCCCCCATCCCCATCAGCTCCTCACCCATCTCCCGAGAAAGGGCAGGGGTCAACCCACCCCATTTAATCCTCGGTCGATCAGGTATCATCTTCCTCCTCCTATCCCTCTTAATCTTCAGGTCCATCACCAAAAGCTTGTGTTGGGTAGTGAGGTTTTCACTTGGGATGACCTTGCAGTCCTTAAAGAGACCTCTATCACCCTTCCTAAGGAGTAAGTAATCTATCTGGGTCTTAGCTACCGTGCTACGAAAGGTAACCAAGTGGTTCTCCTTCTTCGGAAAGCATGAGTTAGCAATCACCAACTCAAAAGCCTTAGCAAAGTCTAGAAACGAAGTTCCACCTCCATTTCTCTCCCCAAAACCAAAGCCTCCATGAACATCATCAAATCCACTAGAAGTTGCCCCAATGTGGCCATTAAAATCTCCAGCCATGACAATCTTCTCGGTATTCGGTATACCTCTAACTACCTCATCCAAATCCTCATAAAAGCGCTTTTTGGCCTCCTCGTCCAAGCCCACTTGAGGGGCATAAGCACTAATAACACTCAAAGTACATCCTCCAATGACTAGCTTAATCGTCATCAGCCTATCATTGATCCTCCTAACCTCCACCACTTGCTCCCTCAAATCCCCGTCTACTAAAATACCCACTCCATTTCTATCCCTTGACCCTCCTGAGTACCACAACTTAAACCCATCAACATCCCGAGCCTTGGCGCCTACCCATCTAGTCTCTTGGACACAAGCTATATTTATCTTTCTCTTCTTGAGAATTTTCACTAGCTCTATGGACTTCCCCGTCAACGAACCTATGTTCCAAGATCCTACCCTCACGTTATGAGAACCCGTAACCCCCTTACCACTATTATCCCTCGACCTCGGCCTCAACCGAGGACATGACTCACTATCACCATCAGATACCAAATCCACTAGAACGAAACTGCAATCACAGTAAGATCTACACAGGAAAACACTAAAAACTGCAACAGTAGTACACAGTAAGGGGCAATATAACAACAGTTACACTATATGGTCCAGTACAGTGTGTATTCTAAAGGACACGATAGCACCCACTATATTATATACTGCAGCACAGGTCAGAACTATATTAGAAAACTGAAATACTGTTCCGGGATAAGGATCTGCAAGAACGGGCCCAGCAACGACATTCAGAGCAAAAAAAAGAGAGAAAAAGGATAGATAGAACCTGGTCGGTGAAGATGGAGGGTTTCGGTGATCTATGGGTACTTTTCCGGCCAGATCTGGTTGATCTCCGGCGACACACAGTAGCACTGTCGTCTCTCTTCTGGACTGGTCGCCGGGGAAGATAGATGAGTTCGCCGGAGAAGCTGAAGAATGTTCTTACCTTCGCCGGGGTTTGCTGTTCGCCGCTCGCTGGTCCGAGCAGCTGGAGCTGCTGCTCGTTGTTATCGTCCTCACTGGAGCTTAGGAGGAGAGAGAGAAAGAGGCTCGCTGGTCGGAGCTGGTCCTCGCGTTGCTTCTGGCCGGCGCAGCCTTCGATTGCGGCCGGAAATACCAGAGAGAGAGAGAGAGGAGAGAGAGAAGAGAGAGGAGAGGAGAGAGAAATGTTCTAACCTAAATCAAGAAGTAAAGAACTAATAAAATCCTTGAGTTGTACTAAACTAGTTACTGGGGACAATATTGTCCAAAAAAGGATAGAACTAAAACTAGCTTTAAGATGATGGCTTTGAGTTATTTGGGACAATATTTTCCATCAAACCACCTTTTGTTTCTCTCATTTCTGAAGGCTCCAAAAATAGCAACAGAGATCATGAACAAGGTGTTCTTGATGGTCTTATCAACTTTCCAACGACTTCAACTCACATATGCCTCTATCTAAATCTGAGGTAACCCATCTCAATCAAAAAATGTTGAAAAATAAGCTCCAAATGCCAAAATAAACTTATGTAAGTCATTCTGTCCGGAATACTTGCATCCTGTTGGAAGCTTCCACCTTGGCTAGCAATTCCAGCAAGCCCTCTAAGTTCTAGGCTTGAGGGTGTCTTCTTAAATGTACATTCCAGATGTTGTTGCTCCAGTTTTTTGCAATTGAGAAGACCTTGTCAAGTTCCATATCATATAAACCAGGATAAGATGACGTCTTGGAGTTTTTTGGGACAATATTTCCATCAAACCACCTCCTGTTTCTCTCATTTTGAAGGCTCCAAAAATAGCAGTAGGGATCATCAACAAAGTGTTTTTGATGGTCTTATCAACCTTCCAACAACTCCCAACTCACATATGCCTCTATCTAAACCTGAGGTAACCCATCTCAATGCAAAAATATTGAAAAATAAGCTCCAAATGCCAAAATAAACTTTTGTAAGTCATTCTGTCTGGAATACTTGCATCACTGTTAGAAGCTTCCACCTTGTTTAGCGATTTCAGCAAGCCCTCTAACTTCTAGGCTTGAGGGTGTCTTCTTAAATGTACATTCCAGATGTTGTTGCTCCAGTTTTTGGCAATTGAGAAGACCTTGTCAAGTTCCATATTATATAAACTAGGATAAGATGACGGCTTGGAGTTATTTGGGACAATATTTTCCATCCAACCACCTTATGTTTCTCTCATTCTGTAGGCTCCAAAAATAGCAACAGGGATCATCAACAAGGTGTTCTTGATGGTCTTATCAACTTTCTAATGACTACAACTCACATATGCCTCTATCTAAATCTGAGGTACCCATCTCAATCAAAAAATGTTGAAAAATAAGCTCCAAATTCCAAAATAAACTTTTGTAAGTCATTCTGTCCGGAATACTTGCATCACTGTTGTAAGCTTCCACTTTGGCTAGGAATTCCAGCAAGCCCTCTAACTGCTAGGCTTGAGGGTGTCTTCTTAAATGTACATTCCAGATGTTGTTACTCCAGTTTTTGGCAATTGAGAAGACCTTGTCAAGTTCCATATCATATAAACCAGGATAAGGTGTTTCTATCAAGCCATTTATCTTTACAAAATTTGATATGCTCTTAATTATTTGAATTGAACCATACCTTTTGGAGAATTCATTACCCAGCTTGCTAATATATTTCCAAAGTCCTACTCCATAGCGAGCATTAGAGATATAAAAAAATTCTTCACAAGCAATAAGGTAAGAAATTAATAATCTTAGGGTTTGAGGATTTGTTATTACTAATGATATGTTAGGTACTAAAATTGCAGCCCCTTATGGTAATGACCGAAAGTAAACAGATCAGAGTTAGTAACAAAGGCCTAAAGATCTGGATAAGTCCTAAATGACAATCTACCAATTGTAAAGAGTTTCAATAATCTCAGCAAAGTAATATAATCTCTGAACCTTTGAGCCTCCTATCTAAAAGAGTGAAATAATTTTAAGATACATATAAAGATAAAATGTAATTGTAAGTCTTTCTTAAGTGATTGATAGTAATTAAATTGACTAGTAATCTTAGCTAGCTAGTTAATCAGTTATTAAAATGATGAATATTTATTGTACTTGCAAAAGAGAATAGTGATGCATCAAGTCTCTTAAATCTCTTAGCATTTTTAAAAAATAAATGCATCATCTAAGAATCACACCTTTCTTGATATATACTATTTTCATGTCATCTTCACTGCACTTCTCACTCAGAAACATGTGTTTACTATTCTATATATTATCCATATATATATTTCCATCATTTATCTCAAAAGTTATAACTGAAACATCGCTACAATGTTAAATATCTCCGGATTATATTTCACTTCCCAATAAGACATAATAATTATTGACTTCTGTAAATATACATGAACAAAGTGTACATTTATAATTGGAGCAATCACTACACAAATAACTAATTAAAAATCACATAATTAGTTTTCTGAAACTTACCTAGAATCTTTCAGAAAGAGGTCCTCTTCAACTTTTGAACAATAAATGGTTAGTTCTTACTTATGTTGGTTTATTTATAATATCTTTTGTTGAATGACGATTATGGCACCTAATAAGGAATGGATGCAACTTGTTCTAGATAGACTTGATAATGCTTACATCATTGGGGTGGAGAAATTTTTGGATTATGCTTTTAGAAAATTGGGAGAAACACAAGAAATACGTTGTCCATGCATCTTCCAAAACTCGTGAGATGGTTAGGTCACATCTATTAATGTATGGAATAATGCAGAGTTATACTTTGTGGTATCATCACGGGGAGAGGTTAGGTGAGCTAGAGTCAGATTCTGAATTCGTAGAGGACAATAACATTGAAAATGATGATGATGAAGATGAAATGCATGAGCTCTTAAGGGATTTACACCCCGATTTCACTGAAGAGAATATGAATACTAACAGTGATGATTTTTTTTAGGCGGAACCAAATCCTGTAGCAAAATGATTCTACAGCCTATTAAATGATTATGAACAACCATTATATGAAGGTTCGAAAGCAAGAAAACTTTCTACTTTGATTAAGTTACTTCATATTAAAAGTATTGGACAATGGAGTAATGTTTCATCAACAATGTTGTTGAAGATGCTAAAGGAAGATTTATTGCATGATGGATCAAACGTGCCAGATTCATATTACGAGGAAAAAAAGGTAATTTGCAATCTTGAACTTTCTTATCAGAATATAGATGGGTGTAAGAACAATTGCATGTTATACTCGAAGGATGATAAGATTGTCGAATTTTGCAAAGTGTGTGTCGCATCTAGATGGAAGGAGAATCAACGCAATGGGGGAAAATCAATCTAAACGTGGTAAAAAAATTCCATGCAAGATTTTACGTTATTTTCCTCTAAAGACAAGACTTAAGAGATTGTTTATGTCCTCAAAAACATCTTCTTTGATGAGATGGCATCATGATGAAAGAGTTGACGATGGAATAATGAGGCACCCAGCTGATTCAGTTGCATGGAAGAGACTTGATGAACTTCATCCATCTTTTTGTACTGAGCCTCGTAATGTTCGACTTGGGCTTTCTAGTGATGGTTTTCAACCATTTAAAATTTTGAAAACTCCATATAGCATTTGGCCTGTGGTACTTATTCCTTATAATTTGCCACCTTGGTTATGCATGAAGCAAGAAAATTTTATTTTATCGATGCTTATTCCTGGTCATGAAAGTCCCAAGGATGCAATTGATGTGTATCTCCAACCTTTGATAGATGAATTAAAGGAATTATGGGAAACTGGAGTTGAGACATTTGATGCATCGGCTAAACAAAATTTTATGCTACATGCAGCTTTGTTATGGACCATTAATGATTTTCCAGCATATGGAAAGTTGTCAGGATGGAGTACCAAAGGAAAATTGGCTTGCCCGTGTTGCAATATAGAACTCTTTCAATTAGGTTGGATAATGGTCAAAAGTAGTGTTATATGCATCATAGATGCTTTCTTCCTCTTAATCACAAATGGAGGAAAGATTAAGATTCCTTTGATGGCACAAATGAGCAAAGATTACCGCCAAAAAAGTTATCTGGTAATGATATACTTGATCAAGTAGCTGATTTAGAAGGTCTAACACAATCAAAGGATCCAAGGAAGAAGATTAAAATATCACACAAGAATAGGGGTGATAATTGGAACAAGAAGAGTATTTTCTTTGATCTTCCATATTGGAATACTCTATTGTTGCGACATAATTTAAATGTGATGGACATTGAGAAGAATATTTGTGATAATATTTTGGGGACATTCTTAAATGTCAAAGGAAAAACCAAAGACACCATGAATTCTCGATTGGATTTGCAAGCAATGAACATAAAGAAGGAATTGCATCCGATAGAGAGATGAGATAAATATGAGTTACCTACTACAAGTTACACATTATCTCCTACATAGAAGCACAAATTCTTCACTTTCTTAAAGAGTTTAAAGGTCCCAGATGGGTTTTCATCAAATATTTCTCAGTGTGTCAACCTTAAATATCGGAAACTTTCAGGATTGAAAATTCATGATTGCCATGTTATGCTACTACATTTACTTCCACTTGCTTTACGTGGTATGCTCTGCAAATCTGTGCTTGAACCACTTATTGAGTTGTCAATATTTTTTAAGATACTCGGAGCAAAATGTTTAAGAGTAGATGAGCTAGAGCAAATAGAAGCCCAAATTCCAATAACTTTGTGCAAGTTAGAAAAGGTCTTCATTCCTGCAATTTTTGATATCATGGTCCACTTGCCAATTCATTTAGCTAATGAAGC